CCTCTGTAGGGCATCACAATCTGTAAATCAAGGGACACATGCAGCATATTTAGAACATCTTGGCTGAGAAGCCACCAGATCCGACTCACCCAGATCTGGAATTTCTGTAGCTACCTCCACCCTGTGAGCCAAGTCAGTGTGGCACATGAGGAGAGTTTTATGTGCTCACCAGAAATGTAGACATGGGGGTAGGACTTCTTCACATAGAGCATCTCCTGCTTAAAAGGAATTACTACACTATTTTACAAATATACTTAAAATATTTTAAATATTTGACTACTTAAGTCTATTAACAGTATTGCTGAAGCACATAACAGCATCCCTGCACTGCACAGAACCATCAAGCATTGCACATAAAATGGCATTGGCCTGAACACCCCACCCTTGCTGCTATCCCTTCATACTCCCCCAGGGACAAGAGGTGCTTGTCTCATGAGTGACCTACAGCAGGCTGTCACAGAGTAAATATATACACCCCACTGCAGAAGGCCTGAAAAGATTTGTGCAATTTTTCCAACTTCAGATAACAAAAGTCACCAGTGTATCCCCTCAGTTCAAGAAGGACAGGGAACTGCTTGAAAGAGTCCAGCCCAGAGCTACTAAGATGATGAAGGGAGTGGAACATCTCCCTTATGAGGAAAGGCTGAGGGAGCTGGATCTCTTTAGCTTGGAGAAAAGGAGACTGAGGGGTGACCTCATCAATGTTTACAAATATGTAAGGGGTGAGTGTCAGGGAGATGGAGTTAGGCTTTTCTCAGTGATGACCAGTGATAGGACAAGGGGTAATGGGTGTAAATTGGAGCATAGGAGGTTCAAGGTGAATATCCGGAAAAAATTTTTTACTGTAAGAGTGACAGAGCCCTGGAACAGGCTGCCCAGGGAGGTTGTGGAGTCTCCTTCTCTGGAGACATTCAAAACCCACCTGGATGCGTTCCTATGTGATGTACTCTAGGTGACCCTGCTCTGGCAGGGGGGTTGGACTAGATGATCTCTCGAGGTCCCTTCCAACCCCTAAGATTCTATGATTCTATGATAAGGTTTCTGCTAGGCCTTCTTTTCTCATTAATCCAAAATTCCCACTGACTGGAAAAGGGGAAACATAAACCCCAATTTCAAGCAA